TGCCATCTGGAGCACACACAATCTGTCAAACCTACCAATGTCGGTCCTCCTCAACCTTCCCTTCATAACCAACAGATCTCCCTTTCTCTAGATCTGGTTACCGAAGGATCGATATTCACTCTGTCTGCTAGGAAAGCAGACGGTAGCTCACTCTCTTATTGAAACTTCCCCAGTATAATCTCCAGTAACATATCCTTCACTGAGGAGGGGGAGGGACTTTCTCTTCTCCAGTAATATTTGGCAAAACAATGTTTACGTTATTCATAGCTGGCTAGAAAGAAACTTACCTTGTACTCTTTTAAATACAAAATTTCAGTTCTGAAATACAGGGACAATACGTATGAGTTAGATTACACAAAGCCCCTTGCTTAAGTCATCACATGAAATAACATTTGTGAAATGGAAACTAAATTAGACAGTGAGAAAAATGGTTAGTCAAGAAACTATGTTACAGTTGAAAATTACATTGGTAAATACAATGCTTCTATACTATTGGATCTGTGATTTCATCAGACACATATTTCAACTCCTTTACACCTTACTGGATGGTCTCTAAGAGTCTTCTTGAGATGCCTCGAGGAAACAATGTATTGCCTGGTGGCCAGCCTTCTGGTGATATCATCAGTCAACTGTCAACAAGCATTAGCATTTACGTTGTGCCAGGCACTGTGCTGGGAACACAAATACAAAGAGAGCTTCTCTCCTCTTTTAGCTAGGCTTTTTCTCACACAACTCATACACAGTCTGTCCTTGGACTATACGCCAAGCCTTTCCAGATTGGTTTGACCTGCTTTGTGCTCTTTTGGCGTAGCCCCCCCCCCCAACCCAGGTCATCTCCACACCACAATGAAGGCAGTGAAGGAGGACTTTAGTGTAGTATAAATGCAAAGGTACAGATATTTAGCTCACCCTTAAACAGCGCTGGCAAAAGACATAAAATGAGGTAATGCTGTACTTCTTGAAATAGAAAACACCTTCTTAGTGGAGTGCAAGCACTTTTGTAGGATAGCTTGCTATGAAGCCTCCATATAATTCTGGAACCTAAAGTTAGGAATCTTTTTTAAATCGTAAAGAAGCAGTGAGTTACACATTTCAAATAAAGCATAATGTCGAACTCAAGTTGTCAGTCTGTTTCGATTGCTTTCTGTATTTGCAGTTGATATGCAGATTTGAGCTGTAGCCTCATAGAAAGAGTTACGTAGAGAAACTTCAGCATCTTGTTCATTGTTCCTTGGCAAATAGCAATTGTGGAAAGAGAAAGTGTCTGCCAGTGAATGGGCTAATAGCACTGCCTCTTTAGATCAAAGATAGCCTTTCTAGAGTTCTAATGGAGCGCTGCACAAAATTATGCATTCAGGGAATTGTATTAGTTTAAGGAGTTCAAGTTTGTTCCATTCTTTTAAAAATAAAGCAACGTTTTTTCCCGTTTAAAAAAAAAATCAACCACGCAACTCTCTAGCTGCTTGATTCTCTGTATTTACCTAAAAAGGCAGTTCTGGTCGCACAGTATAGTAGACTGATGTTGGTATAGTCTTATTGTATGAGGAAGTCAGTTGGGCTAGCATCTAAGAAATCAATGCATTAAAGAAATGATTGTACCCGAACATTTCTGAGGTTCCTCTAAAATTCCACGTCTCTATAAAAGTAATGTGGTTTAGTAAAGCTGACTCTACTTCACATTACAATAAGGGATAGGGCAAAAGTTCCAAAGGTGCTTATGTCTTACCCAATTTAATTGAGGGTCCTGATAATTTGTGTTTGGACAGCGCTTACTGAAACTTTTTTCCTCTTAAATTCATTCAAGTAGGATGTGTGTGTTGTGTGTGTGTGTGTGTGTGTGTGTGTGTAGACCTGCCCTAAGGGTGGTTTTGTACTGGGAGCATAAAAATATTTTCGTTTTTGGAAAAAGGTTGACGTCAACTGGAAAGTGTTTTTTGTTACTTTGTTTCCCGGAGCATCCAAACAGGCACACTGCCTCAGGCAAACTGCATAGAATTCAAAGAAGCACCCGACTGAGGAGAGAAAGAAGTGGGCAGCCTACTCCTTGTGCAAGACCCAAGTGTTTCTTCTGTTCCGTACTTGCCCGTTCCCTTGCACAAGTGTAGGGACACACCTCAAGACTCTTGGGCAGAGTTTTGTAAACGGCTTTGTGGGTACTTTCGGGTTGTGCAGAGCTTAGCCGTAATCAAAACTCATTATAACAGATAGATGAGACTCAATTTTCCACACTGTTGTCCAAGTTCCCAGCCCAGGCAAGGCAGGACCTTTTGAACCACAAGAAAAGAGGCTGGGACAACCGAGAACTTGGGAGCATCCCTAGTCAAAGAGGCAGGCTGTCCTGTGCTCCTGAAGGATCCCTTCTACATACAGTGACTACTGTAAATGACTCGTTCCCCCAGTTTATGTGTGTGTGTGTGTGTGGTGTGTGTGTGTGTGTGTGTGTGTGTGTGTGCGTGCGCTTGTGCGTGTTCGCGGGCGCGCGAGCGCGCAGAATTTAACCATACACCGCCCTGGGCTCTGGGAAGCTAACACGCCTTTCTACATATTTCAAAGGGGCGGGGGGGAGCGGCGCGGCGGTGTTAGACTGGGCTAGACGCCTTTCTTCCTTCACCTAGAGTAAAGATTCCTGTGGGAGCTAACTACCAGCACTGCCTTCTAACCCTTGGGGCTCACTCACACGCAGCCTTCCGGGATGGCTCTCTCCAAATGCTTAGTGGGAGGATTGTTCTTCTTCCCACAAACCCCGAAGACAATTGGGGCGGGGGAAGGGGCGGAGAGGCAAGAAAAGCTACTTGCTTTAACTTGCTTACCACCTGGAACGATTTTCCCTCTGCTCTGCCCCAGTTCACCAAGAAAAACTGCGGCAAAACGCTGAACGAAGGTAGTTTAGGTAGAGCAGACAAAAAGTAAACTTTCTAGTACAGCAAACATTAAAACACCACCTTATATGTGCATATGTATGTGTGTATATATATATATATATTGTGTGTATACATACACATATGTAACCTTTCTGTTATGGGTAAAATTATATAAAGTGTTTTATTGGGGGGTGGGGAGGAGTGGGAGGTGGGAAGTAGCGACTGAATTGACTGTAATTCTTTGCTGAAATGATTTTGCTGTGGACTCAAATCTTAGGTAGTGTACAATAAACTTGAGTGGCCTGGAAAATAAGATACCTGGGCCAAACGGACCTCGCAGCTAGAACCCGTTCTTGGACTCGGTTTCCACCTCCTCTAGACTCTGGAGATCGTAATGAAACCTGGTGGAATAAAAGGACATTTTGTGTAATGGTACACGTGTTTATGGTCCCACAGAACATGCCTGTTCTACGTCAATGAAGACCAAAGTAAGGACTGGAGGTCACTTACTTTGAAGGAGTACCTGCCAAGAGCTGGGGCGAGAGCTAGGGCGAAAGAGTCTCTCTGGCTTGTTGCCACTTGACCCCACCCTCTTCCCCCAGGAGCTTGGGTGTGTTACGGGTATGGGTTTGGGTAGAAATGGTCCTATTTCCCAACTCAGTGCTTTTTTACTGATCTTCCTCTGTGCCCGAATGTTCTTCCTACTGTTCTTTGCTTCCTGGCTTCCCCGGCTTCCTTCAAGTTTCTGTTAAAATTCCACCCTTCTGCAAGAAGCCGTTCCCAACCCCTACCCCCCCAATCTAGTGACTTCCCTCAGAGATTACTTCCAATTTATTCTGCACATATCTTGTTTATACATAGTTGTTAGCTTGTTGTCTCTCCTAATTAGACTGCGAGCTCGTTGAGGGCAGTAGCTGTAGTTTTGCCTTTCTTTGCGGTCTTCAGCGCTTAGTACAGTGCCTGGCACATAGTTAAGTGCTTAAATAAATGCTTGTTGACTTAACTTGGTTAAGCTCTAGCTTGCACAGGGTCTAAGAGAGTTTTTGCCCTCCTGGCTTATTTAGCGTCCTTGCCAGTTGCAAAAGAGTCCGAACCTCGACTTTGTAGGGACCGCGGCGCGGAAGCTACTTTTACTTATCACAGTTCACTTTCTCTGGCTAGTACAGGATGGGGATGGGGATGGCGACTGCTTGCACCCGGAGGAGTCACTTGCCCCAGGTGGGCGGTCAGCCTCTCTCTCTCACCCAAGGGAGGACTGGGGGAGGGGACCAGTCTGCGGGGAGGGGTCCCGGGGGTCTCTAACACCTCCCCCCACCCCCGGCCGCGCGTCCACCTCTCCTCATGCCCCTCCCTTTCCCTTTCTCCCTCTCTTGCTCCTTCCTCTGGCTGGACCGGCGCGGACTTGACCCAGACCTTCGGGGAGCGCCGCGGGCCTTTCATGACAACTTAAAAGTGTCTGTCGGAGCAGTCCAAAGGAACGAGGCAGATGCTGGGCGTGTTTCGCTCCTTTGCGAGAGTCGGAAAGTGATCTGGGAGCCGCGCACTGGCCCCGGGCCCCCGCGCCTCGCCTCGCCGCCAGCGAGTAGGTGGGGGAGAAGCCGCCGCCGCCGCCAGCCCTGTCCCTCTCCCAAGCCTTGCCGGCTGCGCCCTGGCCGCGGGCGGGGAGGGGTGCGGGGCTCTCCTCGTCTCCCTCCTCCACCCTCTTCATTACCTACCTGCTCTACTCCGCTCCGGGAGGCCGGAGAAGCTCCTGGCAGCCCCCTGGAGCCAGGCCGCCGCCGCCGCCGCCGCCGCCCGCAGCAGCAGCAGCAGCAGCAGCAGCAGCAGCAGCTGCCCCCCACCCCGAGCTCCGGGGGGCGATGAGGGGGCGGGGGAAGAGGCGCCGCTCCTCGGGCATTACTTAGAGAAGTGAGGCCACCCCTCTCGCCGGTCCGCCCTCCCGGGGCCGGGACTGCCACTCTCCAGCCAGAGGGTAAGTTGGGCGTGTTTCTCTCCCCTACCAGCCTCCCCCTTCTCTGCCCCCCCATTTTTCCCTTAAAACTTTTCCTTTAGGGGTGTGTGTGTGTGTGTGTGTGTGTGTGTGTTGGGGGGGCGGGAGTGTAAGGTGCATTTACTCCTCTTTACTCTTCTCTCTGTCCGACGTACCCTACCAACTTTGCACCCTCCCTCCATCCCGCCTGTCTCTGCCCCCGCCGCGGCGCGGCTGGTGCTGACAATTGGAGCGCGGCCCCTTTAAGAGCCCGGCTTTGCCTCCCGGTAGCTGAAGGTCATTAAACACAAAAGCTCTCAGCGCTGCGGTCCAATATAGCGCATGCGCCCTGCCCGAGGACTGGCAGAGAGACGGCAATATGGCGAGAATGCCTGGCAGCGGGGACTGTAACACCAGCCCCAGCAGCAGCGCCAGCGCCAGCGCCGCCGCCGCCGCCGAGAACAATGGGGAGCGGGGCGAGGGCGAGCGCGGCGGCGGCGGCGGCGGGGGCAGCAGCCGGCCGAGCCACCCGCACTACTGCAGCGCGGGCGAGGAGGAGGAGGACGACGACGACGACGAGATCCAGGAGGTGCAGATAACGGGGGACGAGGAGGAGGAGGAGGAGGAGGAGGAGGACGGAGGTGGGGGGCTGGAGGAGGAGGAAGAGGAGGAGGAGGAGGAGATGGGTCTGGACTGGGACGAGCCCCTGGAGCCCGAATACTCCGCCGGGGAGGAGCTGGAGCCCGAGCCGGTCCATATGATCCATATGGACCAGAGCACGGAGCTGGACCCGGAGTCGGAGCCGCTGCTGCTGCCGCCCCGCAGCGGGCCGGCCGAGGACCCCGAACTGGATCCGGACCTACTGCAGCGCCCCGAGCGGGCCCGGCTGAGCGAGAACACCCGCCTGGCCACCCGCTATGCCGTGCGCATCTTCCGGGAGTACCTGAGCGAGAAGTCGCAGAGCCCGGACTTCGAGACCATGGACAAGGGGGCGCTGTGCCGGGTGCTGCGCTCCTTCTACGCCGAGGCCCGCTCCAAGAGCGGGCAGCTCTACAGTAAGTCGTCGCTCATCAGCATCCGCAGCTCTCTGAACCGCTACCTCAACGAGCCCCCCTACTGCCGCACCCTGGACCTCACCAAGGACCCCGAGCTGCGCAGCGCCAACCTGACCCTGGCCGCGGTGATCCGCAAGCTGGAGGAGCAGGGCGCGGGGCCGGTGGTCCAGAAGCAAGCCATCACGCGCGCCGACCTGCGCAAGCTGTACACCTCCAGCGTCTTCAGCACCAACACCCCCTTCGGGCTGCTCAACAAGGTCTGGTTCGAGTGCATGTACTTCTGCACCCGGGGCCGGGAGAACCAGCGGGAGCTGGAGGAGGACTCTTTCGGGCTGGCCATGGACGAGGATGGCCGCAAGTTCGTCTACTTCAAGTCCCTAGGGCCCTATCACAAGTCCCGCTCGTCGTCCTGGAGCAAGAAGCGGGCGGAGAGCAGCGACGAGGAGAATCTGCCCCGCATGTACGAGACGGGCACGGAGTTCTGTCCCTACGCCAGTTTCGTCAAGTACCTGTCCAAGCGCAACCCACTTTGCAAGGCTTTCTTCCAGAGGCCCCGGGACCACTGCAACGAGGGCGATGTGACCTGGTATGAGAACAAAGCCATCGGCAAGAACTTACTTGGCACCAGGATGCAGATGCTCTCCAAGGCAGCCAAGCTGTCCAAAACGTACACCAACCACTGCATCGGCGCCGTTTCCATCGCCACCCTCAACAGCATCGCAGGCATAGGCACTAAGCTGGGACCCCCCGCCCCGCAGGGCTGCTACGCCGAGGACTCTGAACGGGGGAGCGCGCCACCATCACCACCACCACCATCACCACCCCCACACCCCGCACCATCACCACCGCCCCCAGCCGCCTTCGCTGGGGAACACTTACATCCTTCCCAAAGAGAGCCAGGTGGTGGCCGACGTGAAAGCGGAGGCTGCACCCAAGCGGGCCCTGTACGAAGCCGTGTTCGGGCCGGGTGAAGTCTGTGGTCCCTCTTCCCCCAAAAGACTGTGCATCCGCCCCTCGGAGCCGGTAGATGCGGCGGCGGTGGTGGTGGTTTCGGTGAAACACGACCCCCTGCCTCTTCTTCCCGAAGTCAATGGGCACCGAAGTACCAATTCTCCCACAGTAGTTTCACCTGCTATTGTTTCCCCCACCCAGGTAACCAAAACCAAACTCTATGCATGAAATGTTTCTCTGGTGCCACTTCGGGACTAACTTTTGTGCTAATGCAGGTCTGTGCTTTTTGGCCATGTAAAAAAAAAGTAGAAAAGTGAAGTGTGTTGAATCGTTTCACTGTGCTGTTACAAGTTTGGCTTTCTTGGAGATTTAAGGGAAGATTACTTTAAACCAGTGGTATGAGAGCAGGCAAATCACTGCTGAGCAATAGCTTTTAAAACTTCTGTGTGCCAAGAACAATAGGATTAGTTGAACTACTGCAGCCTCTCAAGAGTTATGTAAAGCCATTTAAGTTAGAGAAGTTTTGTGTGTCTATGGTTTATGGGCATAATGTAAATGAAACGCTTCTTAAAAATACTTTTCGTAAATAGAATAACCATAAAAATATTCCATTACATATCCTTGATCACTTTTGAAGTTGGGGTGGGGGGAAGTATTCATCGTTATAAACGATTAAAACTTCAACCACTGTTCCCGAGACTTTTGTTTTTGTTTTGGTAAGAAAGCTTTTAGCTTCAGTAATACGTTTACATTGTTAGCTAGACCCTGGTGCCAAAATATAGTGCAACAAATAATTCTGGACCTACGTAGCATCAGATAGAAAAAGGAAACTTGGTTTGTAGTTAGGTAAGTTAAAAAACTCAACTTGTTTAAGTTATTGTTCAAGTGAAGAGTTGAGACCTGCAGTTACAAGCTAATTAACAAATATTTATTGTGTGCCTACAGTGTGTAGAGCACTGTGCCAGGCACTATGAAGAATATAAAGAGAAGTTAGAGAAACAAGATATAAACACCCACATGTGTGCATACGTTATGTATAGGTGATCACAAAACAAAAGTTAGAGGCAACACCAAATCGGGAATTAAGAGACAGGGGTGCCAATCCTGCCCCTGTCACTAATTTGCAGTGTAAATTCAGACAAGTCAGTTAACCTCTCTGGGCCTTACTTTATTCATCTGTAAAATGATGGAGTTGGATTAAATGATCTCCAAAGCCTCTGCCAAACTAGAGTTCCTGGATTCAGTGATAAATAGCTAGTGAGCAGGGTAGACCGTAAGTGCTATGGGAATGCAAGGGAGAAAGAGATCATTGATAGAGAAGGAAGACTTCCTGTCTCTTTACTCCTTGCGGGGTGGGGAGAAAACAAAGAAATGTTGAGTACTTTAAAATTATATTTACTTTCTAGATTCTCCTGTTGCTCATGAGATTAGAGTAAGTTGTCTTTAAAAAATATATAATGGAATTTAGAAATACTATCCTCCTGTCTTCTTCCCTCCCTACTCTATTAGAGGAACGTTTCAGAATTTTTGCCCACTTACCATTAAGAAAAAAAAATAGGAATCTCAGGCCACTTAATGAACAGATGTAAGGTACCTCTGTGCTCTTTCCAAAGTGGAAATTCCAGTTCTGGACAAACTGACCCTTTCCAACAGTTTACCAGCTAATCAGCAAGCCTCAAGGCCAAATGAGAAAGGGGGCTGTGAATGGTAATATAAACATGGAGGTTCTCTAAAATCCACATGACCTGTAGGCTGTGTGTATCTTTGTGTTTCTAGTGTGGACGGTTCAGTTGTGATATTATTAAAAAGAACGGGGAAATCTTTTCAAGTACTTTAGTTCGTTCTCTTAAAAAAAAGATGTAATAAGCCTTCAGAACAGTAACTTATTTTAAATATAGTGGTTTAGAATGTTAACTGAACAGATAAAAGTGTGAAGTTTAAGCGTGTTTATCAAAAGTTCTATTTACTTTCGGCAGTCAGTAGTCCAACAAGACAGCTTTATGTCTTGCTTTCTTAATATCTCTTGGGGTCACGTCAAACTAGGAAGTAGGATTTTGTTTCACTAGACATGCATGCGTACTTTCTCTCTCGAGCTTTCTTTCCACTTATTTAACCTCAGTGTTAAATCCTGGATCTATGAAATTGTGTACTAACCCTTCCACTTTCTCTTGAAGTACTATGAGTAATTCCAGTGTTAAGTTTAAGGCTCTAGTACTGAATGTGGAATTTTGTGTTTGATGATACACAAACTCTTCAAACATGGTCAGTACAGATGAAATCCACTGGAGTGTTGTTTGTTTTTTAAGTACAATGCCATTTAAACGTGAAACCCAAGTTTTCATTCATGTTAGAATCACTTTTTTTACATCCTTTTTTTCTTTCCATTTTTAAGCAAAATTAAAAGCTTGAAAGGAAGCCTTTAAAACAGTGACTCCTATGGGACTCTGTGTATTAAGCCTGAGCATCATAAATATGGAATGGATTTTTTTAGTTTAAATGGAAAGCTGATATTAAACTTTTTCCCTCCTGTATTAAAACAGCCATAACGATTGAGGTCTTGGGCATTTCCTGGGGATTAATGGCCGGCTGGGGTTAATGGCCCGAGGCATTGCCTTAGGCCATCAACTCTTCCAGCTAGTCATTAATCCCCAGGAAATGCCCTGTACCTCGAACCTCAATCGTTATTACTTAATTGTAAACATAGGCTTTCTAGCCTTATTACTGACTAGACCTCATCAAGTGGTGTGACACCAAATTCCACTGTTGACCAGCATTACAGATTTCTTGATAACTTAGTGATCACAGACTGATACTTTTATTGCCCTCCAACATTGCAAGTTACTTTTAAAAAAAGTTATTTTAATTGAATGCCTAAATTCTGCTGTTTATTGCCTCTCTTTGGGGAAGTTGCGCCTGCAGAAAGTTTGATGAGTTGAAAAAGTGAAAATATTCTATTGAGGATTAATAGGAGTATGTAATTGCAGTTTCAACTTGTTTAAAGTATGAATTTCAAGGACCTGGATCTTATCGATTTTTAAATAATTGCTTCTTTCAGTGATGTCCTACCATTTTTAACTGTACTGGATTGTTAATGGTTGTTGGTCCAAGAAAGAAGAGGTGGTTTCACTGTTTATTAGTTACTATATTTGTGATCTAGGATCAGCCAGGGTATTACTCCAGCTTTATAGGCCTAGGAAGGAAATCCTGTACAGTGCATTTGAGAAGATTTAGCACCATACCCCCATCACATCTTCACTGTAGCTCCTATTCGCACTGAAATATAGCACTTTCCATGCCACTGACAAGAGCAGTTCTATATAGGCTGAAGATAGAACTATGTAATTTTACAGGCTCATCTTTCACATCACTGGGAGATGGGATAATAGTAAAAGTCTGTTTTAGCTGTCCCAGTTAAATAACTGTTACAGTTTTATATACTATTTATCCAGTACTAAACAAAAGTCCACAGATAAGCCTATGAAAATGGACTTAGAAATAACCATATACTCACTGCAGTAAATTCTTCAGTTTAACTTACTTTAACTCTGATTGCCTTCTTTCCAGGCAGATACCTTTTAAGTGTCCCATTAGCATGAAACCTAACCAAGACAGAAATTTATCCACTGATGCATAGTCAGTTGTTTGTATTTCACTGTCATGACTGTGTGCCTAGGCAGGAGTTCCACAGATCTCTGGCTGAAAGCAGGGCCAACATTCTGATTTGGAGCACATGATTTTTCATTGCCTTCAGTCTTTGAAGAGAAGCCATATGTTGACGGAATTAGGGAACTAGCTCTGGGTTTGGGTTTTGTGGTAGGAAGGACAAGGATCATTTAATCCACTACAGAAACAAAATATGAAGTTGCTGATTGGTTGAAATAATTAATAAAATCCAGTTTAAAATTTTTTATTAAAAAGTCTCTTTTTTTCATATATATGTCACTGACAGTGCAAGATATATAAAATAATGTGCATTTAACAGACTTGATAATACTTTACTGCTCTTTGAAGCCTCGAAAATTAATGAATTTGTTCAAAACAAATATACAAAAAGTTTTACTATTAGCTTGAGGTATTTATAGAAACTTTTTCTCCAAAGAAATTTTTCCTTTTTTATGAAAGGTGGAGCCAGGGGGAGAGTAAAGAAGCTTAGGTAAATGTACACCTTTTATACCAAGAATCTTTGTAATTAACCAATTTGCCATTAAGCACTAGTAAGAAGGTAATCATCTGTCTCATTTGACACACTTTGGATTTTAGTCTAAGTGAACATGTCAATTAGACCAGAATAAAGAAATAGAGAGTCAGTGTGGTAAAGTGGTAAAAGCCCTGGATGTGGAGTCAGAGCACCCAGGTTCAAAACCTACCTCTCTCACTTATTCAGTTACTTAACATCTGGATGTCCTCTAAGGTCCCTTCCAGCTTTAAATCCCATGACCTAAATATCTCAACATGATTGGTCCAATCATTATACTGCATTTTGTATGAATCATCTTATAAAAGAAGCCCATATTTTAACTTACTATATTAGCAATTTCATAACTATTGAATGACTAAATTATTTTTAATAGGAAGGGTTTTTTTTTCCGCATTTATCTGAAACTGTATAACCCCAAGTGAAAAATCTTATATAACTCCAAATGAGAAATCTTTTGATCTCCACTGTCTTCTTATGTGCTATTTAGATAGTAAGCAAAAATTGCAATCCCATTTCATCTCTGTTGATGTCTTAAGCAACATAGTAACCTTAAATTATAGGTCCCCAAGTAAGAAGTCTTAATTACAAAACGAATTTCTAGCAAAGAGAAGCCCATTCTTAACTACAGTTCAGGGGACTATTTAGGCAGGATTTTTATCTGTGGTCCATTAGCATTCATTGGCTGCAAAATGGAAAACTATTTATTTGAAGCATGTTTCAGCTTAAACTTTAGGATCTTAAGTACTCTATTTTAAAAGAGAAATCCAGATATTTGGATAGAAGGCACTAAAATGAGAAGTTGAAGTGTTACAACTATTATTCACTCTACCTTATTCAGTAGGACTTTTATTTCTCTATATTTTATATTCCCAGATTCATCATAGATCTACCTCATACTAATTAGTCAAAATTTGCCTTTTAAAATTTCTTTGGGCAAAGGAATAAGGAAGGAAAATTAATTGATCCAAAACTGAATGCTAACTTTGAATCACTAATCAGGAAG